TGTATATTGATTGATAACGAGGATCTCCTTAGTCAGCCCCGTCTACTGATGTCCTGTTTCTCGAACAAAAATGTACTATCTAGAAAATAATGTACTATTCGAACGAATAACATGTTCCTAGTACTATTTTCAAGTGCTCTGCGTGCTTCTCTACAGTCCTACTAAAGATAAGAATATCATCGAGGTACACGACGATAAACTTGTCTAAGTACTCATGAAAGATCTGYTGGAATGTCCCAAGCGCATTGCATAGACCAAAGGGYATCACCACAAACTCGTACAGACCGTACCTGGTCTTAAAAGWGGTTTTGTGCAGGTCCTCAGGTCTAATAACACTTTAATGGTATCCAGACTTCAGATCTATCTTTGTGAAAAACCGGCGTCCCTGCACTCTATCCAGTAGGTCGTCGATGCGGGGTAGGGGTTCTGCGTTCTAGACTGTGATGGCATTGAGACCCCTATAGTTAATGCACATCCTTAGTGTACGTCCCTTCTTAGGAACAAATAAGACTRGCGCACCGTAAGGGGAGGTACTAGGCCRAATCTATSCCTTCTCTRTGAGCTTCTTGAGCTGGAGGCGGAGCTCATCCAACTCTACAGGAGACATCCTATASATTCGTCCTCTAGGCACCTTACTACCTGGGACAACCTCTATTGCATGGACTACCTCCCTTTCCACYACGTCTGTGGGATCCTAAAAAAGGTCGGAATACTAAGTGACGACTGATTCTATCTCTGGGGGTGATTTTACGGCCTCCCCTTTCTYAGAGATGAAGACTAGATACATGCCCTCCTCGCGATTCTGCTTATAGTAGTTATAGAAAGACGAGGCACACAWGCAACCATAGTTTTCCACTAGACYGCTAGCTCTGAACTTTTGCAGTCTAACGGTTSTACCATTTGGCAGCTTGTGTATCAACACCTTCCTATCCCAATCGAACCGAGRTTGAGCGACCCCGAGGTAGTACATACCTAGCAGCATGTCAAATGGCAGTTCGTCGCTGACAAGGAATGAGATTTTTTGTCTCACTTCCCCTCCTCCATAGGAGAAGGTGCAAACTACATTCTTGACATAATCCTGGACTACCATGGGATGCTTGTTGGCTAGTGTAGATGCTACAGATCTGCTAAGCCGCTGCACTTGGTCCCCTAAGCGCAGCCTATCGACACAAGCACGACTGGTGAAGTTCCGTGTAGAGCTTATGTCTTCGAAGACACTCACTTTGCGGCCACCTACATAAACCTCTACCAGAAAATGTTCACCCCTAGGACCTTTACTAATCATCGCCCAAGAGCCTCTGGCCCTCTGGAATCCTTCCCTGACCACTCAATTTGTAGCTTTTCTAGGGACTCAGACACATCTCTCGAACAGAGCATCGGTGGGTCTGAATGTGCTGCGGGGCGTTGGATGAGTCACTAGCCTTGGCCAACGCCTGAAGTGGCGAAGGCAACGTTACCGCTTCAGCACGAGTAAGAGCGGCTAACACTCCTACTGGCCCGAGGTGTTTCCCTGCGAAGTACTTGCGGAGGTACTACCAGGGTTCGAAGATAATCCCACCACTGTTGGAGAGGCTACCTTCATTGTGACTTTCTTGCCTTAGCACGTCCTAGACGTGTGGCCATAGTTGCCACATTTCATGCACGTGCCCCTAGCAACTCTGTCTCTTCACACCTCGTAGTCTAAACCAAGTTTTACGTATGCGGTTGTTCCTTGGTCGCCCTGGCCCTTGGACCGGCCTACCTTCTACTTCCTAGTCCCCCTAGCTTTCTCTTTGATGGGCGCCAGGACTCCCCCATCCAAAGTCTCACTAGCCCCATCTTGCTCTGTCTCTTCCCCATAGTCTGCGAAGTCGTCAATCTCGGTCGCCTGATTATCATTGTCGACAAACATGAGTTGACCTTTCTTTTTCCAGTCTTCGGGGAGTCCCTTTTTCTCACCATCTCCCTGACCCTGATGCGTGGACCCAAGCTTAGCCTCTATGTCTAAGGCTTTCTTGCTAAAAGTAGCGAACCTATGTTGGTCAATATAGGCCTCGTCCACCAACTTATTCTTGACGTTTGTGGGCAGACATCTCAAATAGTCTGTGAGGAGTACCTGTGGGTCATAACGCACACCAGGTACTATGATCAAACGTTCTACGACGTCTGTGGCCTCACGTACAGTCCTGTACCTTTTAGCACAGAGATTGTTGATCGCATCAGTGGCCTTCTCAGCCCCTGTAGGGTCATGCCACCTTTTGTACACAGTCCGTACGAATTCTTCCAATGTCTGAGCCTGAGCCCAGGCATAGAAGTTCTGACCATAGCCCTGCTGCTGCACTAACCCGTTTAACCAACGTGTTGCCGATCCCTCTAAAAAGGAGGCAGCAACTATAACTTCCGGCTCTGGCCTGGTGAGCTTGAGCCTTACATAGGTAGGCACAGTCCTCACCCTGGTATCCAGATCCTCGTCCTTCTTCCTGTCGCCAGAGAAGGGCTTAGGACTCATCAATAGAATCTTGGGCATCCATTGCATGGGTTGGATATGCCCAGGCGATTGTTGCAGTGGCTGCATAGCCATTGAGACAGGTTGCTGTGTGCCAACCTGAGTCTGTTCTAACGATGGCACTGTAGCTGCCACCGTTGTTAATGGTCCTGAAGAAGCTCTAAGGACCTGGCCACTAGTTGCTACTAAACCACCTGGAGGGGGTACACCAAACATAGGGGAGAAAGAGGGTCGTACCGAGGACGGCGTCACAGCGGGACTCGCAACCGAAGGGGGAGCTACAACATACTGAGGCTGCCTCATCATTGGACGAGGAACCTGCAGTGCAGCCATATATTATCTCTTGCCTGCCACTAGCTCGTTCAACACTTCCTGCTGAACAACTTGCGTTTCGACCACGCAAAGACGCGAGCTACACAACGCTTCCATTGCAGGATCAAGTGTTGATTCGTCTAGTGCCTCTAATTTGCTGAACTCCTGTCTCCTACTCCTCAGTCTAAATTTTCTCAAACTAGACCATTGTCTCCTCTCTGCTGCCTCTCTCAACTGCCGCAGTAGCTCATCATGAAGTTCTTCTGCTTGGAGGATCTTATAATCCTTTGTTGTGCGTTGTCTGTTGGCTAACTTGCAAGCCAACAGTTTGACTATTAGTGACTAATGGAAACCTGAGAAACTCTCTAGCTGACACCTGACGAAGAGGCCTGGGACAAGGCATGTGACACTTTGGAGGAGGTAGCCATCACAACCTCAGCCCGGATCCTAGCGTCTGCTAGTCTTGCTATTGCAAGTGTCCATTCAGCGTTGGCTGCCACTGTCCTAGCCCTCTCTAATGCCATCCTTTCTCTGACTTCCCTTCACAGCCTCCTTTCCTCTCCATGGTCGAACTCCAAGAAGGTAATCGGTTGACTGAGTGCAGTTCTACGAGTAACTCTAAGGGATTGTACTAGTCTTTCCTTCTCCTCACTACTGCTTGCATCACTCATGAGCTACAGTGTGTGTGGTCTAGTCTAGAATCCACACTGAATCGTACCTCAGCGTAACACCCAACTGAGTGTGATATACAACTACTTTCGGTCAGCCTGGAGAGAAACAGTTAAGCGGTCACTAACAATCAATGTCAGATCCTACAGATAATAATAATTTTATTTTTTGATTACTCTGGAACATAATGCATGCAGCAAAGAATACTAACTATCTGCAGATCTCTGTTAGTTGTCAGTCAAGTCCGTAACAACTAAATAATCAAAAATAAAAATAGTGTGACCTGCAGAGATGTGTATCTTTTGAACGGAGAACGGACGGACTTCAACACCCGAACTTCCATTTAACAGGCCCCTGGACCCCCATTGAATCCCGTTTAACAGGAAAACGGGGTGTCCCATTGATTTCCGAAAAACGGGATTGGCGCATCGGGCCTCGAACACGTGGCCCTACGCGCCCAAACACTCAAAACGAAAAAAAAATAAAAAATTGACCCCTATTAACAGGGTGGGCTGACCAAACATGCCCCTCCGTTTCGAACATTGTAAGCACATGTATGTGCATGTGGGTGCATGTCTTTTTTTTTTTTATACCAAATGCTCCAATTTATTCGTCCAGTCTCATTTCCGAAGGACCCCTACATATTAGCAAGGCCCTCTCATGGAGTAGAGATGGACATCGGACTTGTAATCTGTCTGCGTGGGCCGAGAATATATACTATGGACTCAAATTCAGGTCTCTGCATCACACTGAGCACAATTATGGGTCACTAATTCTTTATTTTTATTTTTTTTCTTTTGTTTCTCGTTTTTTTTTTTTTTTTCTTGTTTTTCTTTTCTTAGGAATACGTGCAGTGGCCCTAAGGGCCTCGGCGTATTATTCCACATTCTAGAAGAATATCCGTTCGTCTTCTTCTCTTTCCTATCTCTCTCTCACCCTCTTGTCTATGATCAAGTGTCATGGGGTTGTGATAATTTGCTCATGCATGTCTCTGCTTGGATCTAATGTCGATTTAGACATATCTGAAATGTTTGGTTACAATTGTTGATTGGTAACTTTGATGAATGTGCGAGTATACTCTACTCCATCATTACGAATTGGAACCACCGTAGCAATTACACTACGTGTGTTTGACTCGTATTCTGTTTACCTATTGACTTTTGTGACCTTATTAAACTTTTGTGATTTTGTGGATGTGATTGTGATTGTGACTTGTGTTGATTCAAATTGCTTGAGGGATGGCGGGTTCGTTGCCTAGAGAGCGTTGCTTTCACTGTGGTTCGATGAGCCACTGGATCCGGGAATGTCCTCATCGGGGGCTTGGGTATCGTCCACCTGCCACGGGTGCTAATGCGTTCCCACCGCTTTTAACTTTACCTGCGTCGGTTTCATCGTCTTCTTCTTCTGCGGCTATTAACAACTCTACCAATGACCCTTCTTCTAACCCTCGCTCTGGAAATCTGTCAGGGGTAGGGTATGGACAACAAGCTCGTCCGAATTGGTGGTCACGAAATCAAGAACGATTGGATAAGGTGTATAGCAAGTACGTGGAAGATACGGAATGAGAGGCGAGGAAGAAGGAGGAAGAGGAGAAGGAGAAAGCAAAAAGAGAAGAGGAAGCTAAGCTCCTATTATGGAGGAAAGAGCGTGAAGCTTTTGAAGAAGCAATGGGGGAACGACTTGAGAAAAGATTGGATGAGTTAGGCATCGACAAGGGTAAGATGGTTGATACCGGCGGCGGTCAGACTTCCACGGATGAAGCACTCCGATTGAGGATGGAGAATGAAGATCTCAAGCGCAAGCTCAGTGAAGCCTTGGGTCCTTCTGGGGAAGATCGTGTGCATTACCTTCAGAACGAAGTTATGCTGTTACGCAAGCAGGTTGGGGAGAGGCACGTGAATGAAGACGTGATCGTTGCGCTCAAAGCCGAGATATGTGAGCTGAAGCAGACGGCCTTGGTGAAAACTAATTTCGAACAAGAGATCGCGGGGCTTCGTAAGGAGGTGAACCTACTTCGAGATCAGAATGAGCGGGTCACGGTGGAGGCCGGTCTATGGAAGGATCAAGCGTTGCTTCCGGGTAACAAACGAGGGAGCGTGGTGCTGCAGACGCCGAAATGTTCCAACCGAGGGTCGCCTAAGCCCCGTTGGACGGACAATGTAAGAGATGATGACAAATGGAAGGCTGATTACAAGAAGCTGCAGAGTCTGCATCGATTGGCCAACATTGAGGCTGATGCGCTCAAAGAGAAACGAGCCGAAGAAGAAGCACGGCGGGCCGAAGCCAAGAAGCAAGTTAAAGCGCTTGAGGAGAAGATGGAACGTTTGATGACTAGCGGAGGGTTGGGGAATGACAAGCAGGTGGGCGAAACAAATCTTAAAGAACGATTGGAAAAAGTTGCTCTCCGTTGCACCAGGAAGGGTGTGAAAGGGTCTCCTAGGAGGACTGGAGGAAAATCGGTGCCTAAGACTGCTCAAAAGGAGAAGGAACCTACCCCTCGTCCGATGGCAGCCAATATCAACGATCGTGCTAAGTTTGTGGAGGAGCAGAAGCACCAGCTTCGAATGCTTCGAAAGATTGGTTTGGAGCCACTTTGTAAAGAAGAGGGTGTGAAGATGGGTAAGTTCGAAGATACTGTCTGTGATCTTGCGGAGGCACGGGCTAAGAAAACCTTTGGTGAGGGCTCGGGTACCATGTCCAAGAGTGATAGGAAGGCGGTTGAGGTGAGTGATAACACCTCCAATAATGTCGGCGATTCCGAGGATGAGTCTGGGAAGTCGGTTGAGCTATCGGATCCTTTCCTGAGCGCGTCTTTATTATGATCTTTTGCTAATGATTGTCGTAAGAAGCGGTGTAGGACTGGGCTTTCTTCGCAAGCTTTCCCCTCTTCTCGCCTGGATCTATCTTTTGAATTGAATTTGGTTTCTTCCTCTTCCTCTGAAGACTCAACGTTCTTTCTTCGTGATGATAAGTTTAACGCCTTCTTCCGTTCAGTAGTTATTGGATTAGTGATTAGGGATCAGATTCCATGGGCAACTAAGTTTAAGGAGTACCTGCTTCGTTTGCTTATTGAAGGTTTTGACCTCGAGTGCTTCCTTGGTCCCCTAGTGTATGCATTGGTCTCACCGTGGTCACGGCATACCTATATTGGTTCGAATTTTCAATCTCTTTCTATTCGGTGGAAGAAGCATGTTTATCGGGCCTCCGATCCTAAGGTTATTGAACAAGGGAAACGGAATCATCGCCTCTACTCCTGGTTGAGACGATGTCGGGTTTGGTAAATATGTATCGATTACTTTGTTTCGTTGTAATGATGATGAGGTCCGTGACTTGGAGAAGTATCTGGTTGGCCGTTTTTGCCCACATCTGAACTGTCGGGATCGAAAGCCACGTGGGAAACGCCGACGGTTGGGCAAGACTGAACGCTTGAGGAGGAAAAAACGGAATGCTGACTTTGGTTTGTCAAATTATGTCTCAAACGTCTCGAATACTCACCTGACATTTCACTCTACTGTTGGCATTATCTCGTCTAGTCTTTCTTCGATTCTTGAGTTTTGCGTGGACCATAAGATTTCGTCGGTAGGAATCTCTTGTTCCGGGGGGGAGCAACTTGCCGGTGAATGGAAGTTGGTGAAACGAAGATTTAGGTCTTATTTGGAATCTTTCTGTCCATTATTGCAATCGTTTCTTTTATGTCCCGGTTTGCTATTCTCAAACCTACCTTGGCTGGCTTTCTGTCCAATCCTTGTACTAGGAAGGAGCTGGGTCGCTGGGATTTCTCTATTCTGGTGCAATCTTATTTAGCTATTCGATGCTTTTCTGAAAAACGGACAAGGTACTTGTTGCGGTTTATTCTGTCTGGGGTAATCGAGAGACGATTCAATGTTAACGTTGTCGGGACTGGTGAGTCCCGAATAACTTCCCATCACTCGAGAGATTGAATACGGACAAATTGTGCACAACAGAGAAATCTGAAGTGAGGAAGCGGGAGAGAGAAAAGACAAAGGATTAGGCCACAGAAGGGAATGATGCCCTGAGGAGAGAACCACAGGAAGAAAGAACTAGCGACGGCAAGCAAGCGAGTGCAAGAGCAGGGGCACATAAAACGTAGCATGAGGCCGGAAGGGTCGTTGGAATCCAATAAGACTAAGACCAAAGGGGTCTTTGAACTAGCAATTGCAGCGCGACATCGATAAGGGAATAAGGAAGTCGAGGGATGGGTGGCCAGAAGCCGCGGGAAGCCAGGAAATGAGGGGCCAACGTGAGGGCCACCTACGGGAGCCTCGGAGCGAAGGCCCACGACCAAAGAGATTGGCACGCACAAGGCGCGAGGAAAGACTAAGGAGAGGGGTCGCTATGGGGCGACAAGACGCCCAAGGGGCATGGGACACCTCGGGGAAAGGCACCCGGGGCCATGTGGGATTAAGTAAAAATAATGGCATCCGGGGCGAAATGTGTCAGGGACCGCCGGCGGGACTAAGTGTCGGGGACCGCCAACGGGACTAAGTGTCAGGGACCGCCGACGGGACTAAGTGTCGGGGACCACCGGCGGGACTAAGTGTTGGGGACCACCGACGGGACAAGTGGCGGGGACATGTGAAAGTCCCAAGAAGAAACGGCAACGCCGCATGAGGGAAAAATAATAAATGCAAGGTGCACCATCGAGATCGACATCTTGACGGCCAAGAATATTAGCACCACTAGTGCAAGTACTAGTGGTGACAAACGGGAAGGCCAAAAGGAAAAGAAAAAGTAAAGAAAACTGAAGTGGGAGGCATGGGAGCAATCCGAAAAATCTCGGATCAGCCTCCCTCAAGAAAATAAAGTCAAATAAGACCCCATGTGAAAAATAGCCCTCCGGGATAAAATCGGAGTAGGAGGGACCATTGTGGGAGAAATGTAGGAGTAAAAGGAGGTTCCCATGGGCATGGGAAGACCATTATTGCAGTCCGTGAAATAACGGACTGCACCTTGGGCATAGGGAGGGCCAAAACTAAGAGGAAGAGGCTAGAAAAGGGCCTTAACGGCCACTTGACACTTGGCATGCTAGAAAAAAGAGAGAAAAAAAAAGAAAATGTGGGAGAATAAGACAAAGAGAGTAAGAGGGAGTGAGTGAGTTGGCCGTCAGTAGGCACTGCCATAGGTAGGGACTGGCAGGTCCCTACTGTCCAAGAAAGGAGGAGAAACGAAAAGAAAAAAAGAGATAAAAATGACCTTAACGGTAAAAAACGGTCACTTGGGGAGATTCATCCGTGACCAGATTCATTCTGGAATATGGTGGTTACAAATGACTTTGATTTTCTTTGATTTTTGCAGAGAAAATCTAAGAAAATCAAGGCCTCTTGCAACCGGAATAAAACGAAATACATGCATGAGGAGAAACACATGTTTTAGGTGCATCCGGAGCCAAAATCGAGTCCGGATGCACTTGGGAATTGGCCGTTTCTTTTTCTTTTGAGTAAGGGCTAATTGTGGGGTATTGGGGCTATGGAATTGAACCCCATTACAGTCCGAGTTGCAACGGACTGCATGGGGGAAAGAAAACACATGTTCTAGGTGCATCCGGAGCCAATATTGAGCCCGGATGCACTAGAAAATTTAACGCTCCATTTTCTTTTAACGTGGGGTAAGTTGTGGGGCTGTGGGTGTAGAAAACAGCCATGACTGCAGTCCGCGAAATTACGGACTGCATGGAAATGCCAAGGCCAAAGGGGAATGGGCTACGGCAAGCCCGAAAGGCTAGAAAGGAGCAATTTCGGCAAGGGGCGAGTAAAGACGGTAAACGGCAACCGTGAGAGGCCTAGAAAAATCGACACACATGTAGAAATGACAGGACCACCAAGGGCGATGGGCCCCAAAAAAATAAAAATAGGACGCCGTCCGGAATGTTGTCGGGGACCAAATGGGTCCAAATAATAAAAATCGGAAAACGGGACACGCGCCGGCGGAACCGCCACCGGGACAAAGAAATGGAACTAGCATGTAGGAGAATGGTGGGGACTTGGGATGTCCCAAGGGAACCATGAGCAAACACAAGGAATAGTTGTGCAAGCAAACGGCACCGTCGAGATCAAGGATCTAGACGGTGGAAAATATTAGCACCACTAGTGCAAACACTAGTGGGAGCAAGTGGGAGAGTTATGAGAAAAATAAAAGTGAAATAAGGATGTTGGGAAGGCTGCCCAGCATATCTCGGACTAGCTAGGCATAAGAAAATAGAGCCTTGAGAGGCTCAACATGAGAAAAAGGCTGCCCTTAGAAAATCGGAGCAAAAGGGGCTCAAAACTGGGCAAACGGGAGCAAAATGGACCCCCCTAGGAGCATGGGGGTGCCATTGTTGGAATCCGAGATGTAATGGCCAAATAACAGCCATGAACCTGGCCTTGAATAAGGCCCTAGGGCCTAGAAAGAGAGTGCACAGCAGTTTGATACTTGTCATAACAGAAATAAAATAAAAAGATAGAAAAATGAGAGAAAAGAGAGGGAGAATGAGACAAAAAGGGAGAAAAGAGTGGAGGAGATTGTGCCGGCCTATTGGGACCTGCACAGTAAGGACTGGCAGGTCCCAACTGTGACCTCATCCCTCCTAGAATGAGGGGGCCCTAAGTCTCAATAAAATCTGAATTAAGAAGTAGAAAATGAGAGAAAAAGCAAAAAGGAAGAAACCGGATTTCTTTTTGACCATGGATCTGAGATCAGATCTCATGGTGGAGAGGAACTATCCATTTTTTGTGGGCCAGCTCAAAACGGCTAGCTCCGGAATGAGGTGGCAGCCCAAAATGGAAAGAAACAAAAGAGGGAAAAGGACAAAACAGTGCATTTGGCCCAAAAAGAGAGTCAGATGCACCAAAAGTTGAAAAACTGGACTTAGGGGCTCAAATTTGAAGCAAGGGCTACTAGGGGGTAGCTCGGATTATTGCTGGCCTTGGATCTTAGCTAGATCCAAGGCTGAAAATGTGCCGCCACATGGAAAAATGCTCCGGCCTACCCAAGGGAGGCCAAAACTTGGAAAAATCGAGAAAAAGGCCCACAAGACCTTTTTCTTTCAAGTATTGCTGCCCCTTGGGCATTAGAACCCTAGGGGGCAGCATTTGAGCAATGAAAAAGAGGCCGGAGTACGCCAAGAGGCAGTCCGAGTTGGTACCAACCACTCGGACTGCATGTACTTGGCCAAAACGAGGCCCAGGTACCTCCAGGAGGGCCTAGTGAGGGAATTTTGCCTTGGGGGTACCTCTGTTCACCTCAAGGTTCATGGGGAGGCTCATGGGCTGGCCGGACTGCTGGTTTCAGCCTACATAAGTTGAGGATGCAGTCCGCCACTCTCACATTTGCATGAGGAGTGCCCATGCTGCCCAAGTGAGCTCACAGGAGCATCTTTGCACTTGGAGTGAGGAGGGAGGAACCCATGCTAGTGGGAGAGCTTAGAGGAGACTAGAAGGTAGTGGGGAGGACTCTAGAGGATATTGATGGTGGGAGGGACACTTGGGAGGTGATCCGCCATATCCCTCCTGGGTGTAGGAGAGAAGGAGAAGCTAGAGGAGCCCCATTAGCCCTCCTAGAGCGGAGGACTCCATAGCCATAGCTGGGGGAGCTTGCCATAGCCTAAGAAAGAGCAAGGAAGGAGGAGAGAAGGGCTTGGAGAAGAGGGAAGCCATAGCCAAGGAGGGATTGTGCAAGGAGTGGAAGCTTCATCAAGAGGACACCAACATCAAGGAATCAACAAGGTGAGAGGAAGGAAGAGGTTTATTCACCTCCATCTTCTTCTTCTTCTTCTTCTTCTTCTTCTTCTTCTTCTTCTTCTTCTTCCTCTCCCCCTTCTTCTTCCTCTTCTTTCTCCTCACTCCCTCTCTCTTCCTTCTCTCCTCTCCCCTCTCCATCTCTTCCTTCCTCCTCTTCACTTCCATTCTCTTTGTCTCCCTCCTCTTCTTCTCCATCTCCATCTCCCTCATCTCTCTTCCCTTCTCCTCCATCTCCTCTTACTTTATCTTTCTCTCCTCCATAGGCTACTCAAACACTCCTCTTTCACTTATACACTAGGGGGTAGTACTCCGATTTATTCATAGATGCTTCTTGATGCAATCTTGGTGATATGGGCTCTCCAAACTTGTGATTTTCACACTCACACTAGTAGGTAGTGTAGCGCTTCACCCATGAGTGATCCATGATGCAATCTTGGTGATTTGGG